TGCTATCATGCAACAGGTTGTGATATTGCATTAACCATGGAGTGTTATGTTGGCATCGATATATCATTTCGCGTGTATGCTTAGCTGGTTATCAATCTCATGTAGGGGAGGCATTCAACCTAACACAAAGGCTTAGTGTAATACATACGAGGCCTTATGTTGGCTCTCAACATTCATCACTCATATTTATCTAGCATAAGTTATAAAACATCTTTTCGGAGACATCATTTATAGCTTTTCGAGGCTGGGGGTGGGTTTGAATTATGTTACTGACAGAATACTTTTCTGTTACCTTTTCTCTCCACTGAAAGAATGAACCAAACCGTTTTTGAATCCATAACGTATTTGTCCAGTATGTTCAGTGGTAATTTATTTTGTTTTTGTGAAACATAAAGTCATATATATATTTTTTCAGCATTTTCTGAAGCAAATGATTTTTGGGAATCACAGCAGCAACAGAATTGTAAAATAAAAGGCACTTGTAATAATGAGTTGTTCAGGGCGTAGAAGCAGTATGAATGTTTAAATAGTGAAAGCAACGCTAGTTGGTAGGTAGGTTTGTTTGTTTGCGTGTTGTTTAACGCCGTACTATGACGGCGGTCCGTAGGTAATCGAGTCAGGACCACACAAAACAGTGACTGATGTAATGAACATCGATCCACGCAATTGGATACGATGACATGCATCAACCAAATCAGCGAGCCTGACCACCCGGTCCCGTTAGTCGCCTCTTGCGACAAGCATAGTTGGCAAGCATGGGTTGTTGAAAACCTATTCTGCCCAGGATCTCCCCGGGTATTGAATGTAGGTACATGTGATAGGTTTTTGAAAGCCGTATTTGTTGCTTTATATAATAGCAACAACAATAACTATAATAATATAATAATAACGTACCACCACATACGATAGACTGTTTGCGTAGATCGATGCTCATGGTGTCAATCACTGAAATATCTGGATCAGAGTCGATTATTTTCAGACTGTCGTCATATATTTGGAATATTGCTGATTGTGACGTTAAACAACAAACAAAGTTCGACCAACAGAGATTAAATGGTCATGTCTGTGTTATCCATCTGTTTTTCATGAACCCTTTTTGTATCATTTATAAATAACGTTTGAAAATATTTACTTGATAATAATCAGCGACCTTGCTTCTGGTTTGTAAATGTATTTGCAGCGTGCGTCGCCAGCTGGTGTTTACACCGTGAGAGGAGATAAGGTCACGTACAGTACTTGTCCACTGATAAACTACCACAGCAACGTCTGATATGGGGTTTACTGCTCTCATAAACGTTACGACACAATTGCCCCCAATTCTTCAGAATCAATAGTTTGTTTGTTGGTTTGTTGGTGTGTTGTTAATTCCGCACTCAGCAATATTCCAGCTATATGACGGCGGTCTGTAAATAATCGAGTCTGGACCAGACAATCCACAGATTAATATTATGAGCATCAATCCACGCAATTGGGATTGGTGACGTGCATCCACCAAGTCAGCGAGTCTGACCATTCGATTCCGTCAGTCGCCTTTTACGACAAGCATAGTCGCCTTTTACGGCAAGCATGGTCAGAACCAATAGGATATCCTAGATAATTCCATAAGGCTGTCGTACGTGATGAATTTACTGCTAAATACAATTGCTGTCAGTATCATCTATAAAATACCAATAATTATCATGTTATTTGTGAACATATATTTGAGACTGTTTATGTTTAAGACACCACGTTAAAACTTAAAATGAAACATTTAGAAATGAAATACGTACACAAATTGGGGGTGAGGTGAGATGAAATGGGGTTTAACGTCGCGTTCAAGATTATTGCACTTATATGCGAATACGTACACAGGTTTGAATATACATGTGAGATGAAAACTATTTCGTCATGAAAAATAATTATTCACATGTAAGACACTTATGCATTTGGCCCTGGTTGTTAAGGCAGAGAAGAATACCACGAAACTTGTGAGACACAGTCGACTTCGGCGCTTAACGCTGAGATAAAAACCATGTCTACATGAGGAATATAAACATGTCAGAGACATAAGTCTCCGGCGGTTATGATGTCAAAACGATAGACATAGACATTTGAGACACATTTGCCTCGTGCGGTTAACGCAGAGATGAATACCATCTCTACATGAGAAATATAAACTTGTGAAACACATTTGCCTCCAGCAGTCAACCCAGAAATAAATACCATGTCTACATGAGAAATATAGTCATTTGCACAGAATTTATACATCGACGTTACAAAATACATTGATTTCAATGAACAGTTTGCAGCCCAATTTCTTGTCGCTGTCACGCTACACCATGTAAATAAACAACTCATTCCTATAAAACCACAGGCACAGTTTTGACACACACTTTATGCAACTTTTCGTCTTATATATTGAGAGGTCGATTGTCGTTGCGGATTTGAAACTTTTCCAAGGCCACAGACAAAACAGTGGCGAAAAATCCAGGTGTTGCTTATCATAGACACATTCTTTAACACGCCTGGCACAAATCAATCATTGTCTGTTATAGGTTACAATGAGAAGCCTCGGTCGTGATTATGGTCTGTGGTCGGCATCAGGACCATTGTAATTGTATTCCTATATGCAGCTACGAATCGTTCCACGCGTTTGTAATCTTAGATGATCTGGGTCATAAACATCCGTATGGAATATGTGTTGTCTTTTGTAGAATCAGGTCAGACAGAGATAATAGCTTCGGCGGAGCAGAAAATCGACCCTTTAGTGTGGTAGTGGTCAGCAGGTTTAAAGATAGGAGTTTGTCTGTCATTAACTATAGTCAATGAGTAGTTACATTATCCAGCCATTATCAGAGCTAATAAAAAATGTGTCTCTTTGGCAGTGATGGGGCCCAAACGTAAACATGGCCTACACACAATCAAAACAATACAAAAACACGCCCTATATCTCGTAACCCTCGAATCCAAATTTAATACTTCTGTAATAAACTTTTCGTATCTCACGTCATTACTTATTATTACGGTTAGAGATTTTAATAAGTATTCAAGTTTGGGTCAGGCGAACCAGTTATCCTGCGAGTTATCTCGGCAAACGTAGGGAGGATTCCATAGTGGAACTGGGTTCAGTAGTTTCGCTAGTACATGTGGTTATCATATTACTCATGCCATGGTCGACAGTGATTATGACTTATACAATATGCTTTGGTTTCTAGGACGTACTCAGCATGGACTATTATGATTTATAATCGCCTGGTAACTCGCTACATATATCATATTTCAACAACATCATTAATAAACAAGGTACACAAAATTGGAAAAAAATGAAATTGTAATTTTCATCTCACTCAACAGAACTGTATCTAATAAAATGTCTGCTAACCACATTGCACGTAATTAAGCTTTAACACATATGAAAAATGACTGTTTGTTTATTTCCTTCCATTGCGATGCTTAAAAAATACATATTCGCGTTGGATGTGATCGAAACTAGTATATCTTTCATAATATTTGAATTAATTATTTCCAGTTTTAAAGTCAAGTTCACGTGCGTTGTGAATTCTAAGTTTTATGTCAATTTAACACTTACTGTAACCTGACTCTGATAACGATTTTATATCTATGAAATATACCGACATCTGAAAATGACTGCTTGTTTATCATCTTCAAATAGGATTTAAAAAAATATATATTCGGGATCGATGACGGCCAAGGTAGTCAGTGTTTGCGTCCTAAGATGAACCCATCCTTTACCAATGTCATTGTCAAGTTCACAGGCGTTGTCAATGGCCCCGGTCTCCTCCACGCCAATCAGATCATCACCAATAATGCATTCTGGGATTCCAAATCGTGACCAACCTAGTAATTCAAGTGTTTTCGCCATACGTAACAGCCATCTAATCGTGGGACCTTGGCGATAACGATGTCACCAAAAATACATCTCAAGGCCTTCACGGTAAAACCTACGCCAAATAATTGCTTTCATTCAAAATACAATTAGCCAAAAAACGAAAGTTCTCTTTGAAACGGATGTATCAATAGGTTTATAATGGTGGTACACCAATGCACTTGAGGCAATAGCTTTACAAGGGGTTGAAGAAAATCGACGTAAGGTTTAAAGAGATGACTTGCATTCATTTATTAAATTTGACACTTCGAAAAATAATTGCTGTCGTTGTATATGTGGGTACATGTTTATATTTGAAGACAGATATGGTGACAATTTATACAATTGCACAACGTGACTCGTCCTGCTATTATTAGTTTTTGAGTACGTATTTTGTCTGAAAAACTTCCTAAATCAATATTTCAAAGAAATGAGCATGAATCATAAGTGTCAGCCAGCTTTATAAATACCGATTAGTCATAGCCGAGGTAACACCCATGTACATTGTGATTAATAACATTGTGGCAAATATTTGACAAAATAAATAAAAATAAATTCGATATTGTCAAAGAGTAGCTGTAATTGATCCAGCAACGTCAAGCTGAATAACGAGATTGGAATGTCCAACCCACCCAGATGATTGTCCCATGGATTCAGAACACGCGTGGGAAGAAGACGTTAAAATATGCATGTAATAAGACAAAGACACAAAGGCAGATTCTCCACTGCGGGGATGATAAGTAACTTCCTTTCTTACAATACCTAACAACACGCACAACTGTGTACATGGAGCAACCCGTTCTATAAATATTACTGCAGGCTGAGAAGGATATTGTACGGTGCTCGGGAGGGATATTGCACGTATGAAACACGCACCCAACAAAACCTGCACCGTATCCCCCTTCACCGCATCTACCTTCACCTATGCCCTGTTCCTCGGGTACATTGTGTCTGACATTTCTTTATACTGAGGGGTTAGTACTGAATGTATGAATGTTTAGTTCCGCCAAGCCGCTCCTACGCTAGCTGAGCTCACTGTCTGTGTGGTGCCAGTATCGATCGTGTACCTCATTGGCTGCTCAGGATGAATAATCATCACGTGGTCTTGTATACAAGAATATAAGCGGGGAATACACATGCTCACAGCAATAGTAAAAGCTTTAGCTAGCAGACGACAGATTATCACACGAAGCAGCTAGCGCCCGCTGGACAACTCTCTGATAAAGACAGCTTTGCAAGTCTTCCAAACTTGTTACCAGGATTTATTATTCAAGTCTTCCCGATTTTTCACAATTTCTTCGATGAAATTACCGACGAGTATCGTTATGCAGCAAGAACAACTCCTCCACGTGCTTCCAGAAAGAGTGTCGGCATCAGCACCTCACTCTCGGTCCTGCTCCTTCAAAAACCGGCCCCGACCCAAGTTGGAGCTTGATCTTGCCGATGCCAGACCACGGATCAATAGTATGCCAAACTGTTCAGTGTACCTCTCATTACCCGACGGACTTCATGGGGATCTTCGGATGTTCGGACAAAACGCCGGCTTCTTCCGAGTAAGATCCTTCAAGACAACCTCCAAGGGTGTTGTCAACCATGGCGACTCCTTCAAGAAGAGGAGCACGGTCAGTTTGATGTCATCCGGCAGTACCGTCACAGAGAATGAGCAGAGACAAAGGACATTAAGTGTGGCATCAGAGGAGAGCACAGCCGTCAGTGGTGGGTCTTCAGCCGCGCCCTCCTACTTCAGGGTGGTGATGCTCGGTGCCCCCGGAGTCGGGAAAACCACCCTCACTCGGCAGTTCATGACATCGGAATATATGGGCTCCTACGATGTAATTACCCGTAAGTACTATTCTTTTTAATACTTATTAACAATCTTACATCTTTTTAGGTAACCAACACCATTCGCCATACTACATAAAATAATCATATGATTACGTGTTATAGGATGACATCATATGCAAATTCACACGTTTAAGTGATTCAGTCGTTTCAATAGGATATCAGGATTTAAATATGTGAAATATTTTATCATATGAAAACATCATCTTGTCACCAAAATAGTGTTCCAAATCTGAGCCACCAACAATGAACCTCGCCAAAACAAGTATTTCGAAATACTGCACTTGGGGCGAAATGTAGAGTCAGGAGCCACCACGAGATACGCACGCTGATGTCACAGCGTTATGTTGTCATCAGCTTTCGTTGTCTCGCTGACGACACTGACTCATCCATACCTTGCGGGCACAGATCGATACCAAGGCTGTGGGATAACGCTATACGTTTCACGTTTGCCTTTAATTATAGAATGTATTTATAAGACCACAATGGCTATTCTAGTTCAACTGTGGGCGAGGGGCAGAAAATGAATCAATATTGTACATATTTGTGGCAAGTTGGAAGAACAGTTGGAAAACATGCCAGTAATTTAAGGCGCGATTTCACTACTCCCGCTCACGTTATTGGATAAATTAAGGCTGTGTTTTATTAATCGGTCTCAATATGAGAAAAAAGACTGATTATAATCATCGGTCTCACTATGAGACATTCGTCTAGTTTCCTTTGGTAGCAGAACTCTAAATACAATATGCAAATAATCTTGAAATATATGGTACTAGGTGCATAACCTGATCTAGATGAATTTAAATAATGTTTGTAGATTATATACATATAATTATTATCAGAGGTTAATGCTGCCAATTATGATAGTAGGCAAACAAATAAGTCATTTTCTTGGCCTACTCATCTCTAGACAATACGTCATATCCCCAATTTGTCCTATGACGTCAGTTTTCTATCCTCACCTGATGTGACGTGTACCAACCGATCGATACGAGGCTTTCTTAGCTTTCGCCCAGGAGCGTGTTTCTTGGCCGTCTTTATATAGCCGTCAAAGACAATTCTCCGAATTATTGACTTTTTAATCGGGTTTCTGGAGGAAAACAGCCTTAAGTAGCCCCTGAGTCCTTTTTTTCGTTGAACACGACCGGCATTTCTCAAATTGATTGGACGTAGAGATCGATACTGGACAATGATAGGAAGGTTTTATACGTTTGGAAAAATACAGCAATGGGTGTTATAATGCGCACAATATTAAATGATTTCATAACGGTTGTATAATTTTCATTATTCAGACCATACTTCAAAGGTATCACATTCTGTTTCCGATTTTCATACGGTACATATATCAATAAGCCACGTGCTGTAAACATTCATGTTACTCTGCGATCAAGAACAGATGTTCAGTGCATTTTGATTAATACGCCACGCTCAGCGAAAGGGTCTGTCTAGGAGGTGAAAGGTGACGGCTACAATATCATTGTCTGTAACAGATGTTTCCATGTTATAATCAAAGTGACGGCAATTCAGCCTTATCTTCGATTGTTTTGGTCTGCATCGTCAGCTTCATTGGGTAGCATACATTGTATTCCTTTCACGACATGTGGGCATAGTCAAGGTTATAGTGCTAAAAGCACCATATTACAAATCTTCTAGATCAATTGATCTGTACAAATGTTCGTTCTGCGTCCTATTTTACAAATTGTTTAGAATCGATCTTTTGGTTTGACATACCTTTGTATTTATTTATTTTTTACTTTATTTCAACAGCTGATCCCGACGAGCAGGATGATTCAATTGTGTCCGTCATGTTAGACGGAGAAGAATCGATGATGGAGTTTATCGATAACCCCGAGGTGAGTTGAAAAATGTCACTTCAGCTTAAAACGAGTTAAAGTAGGTCTTTGGATCCTTTAAGTGATATCTTTACCGTACATATTAGTATCGAATCCTAAAACAGAATGAACATGTCTTGAATGTTTACACTCCCTTGTAATTGAACATTACACGCAAATAGCTGACATACACATATTACTTCCCTTGCATTCTCCCGCTTCAATTCAGTTAGTTTCGGGTTTAAAAAAAGGTAACTGTCTCTTGATTTCTTGGGCCTTCATCTATAATAAGATAAAATATAATTACGAAAATAACTAATACACATAAAAAGACCTGATAGAACACAAATGCGGTTTAAAAGTCTTATAGCTTATACGTATTTACTTTTTCAGGACTGTGATTTTGATGACCTCCGAGTCGATGCGTATGTCGTGGCCTTTTCCATCACAGACCATGACTCATTTGAGACTGCCGTGAACATGGTGCGCCAGCTCCGGGTAGAATTAGGAACAGACCGAGCTATCATCCTTGTTGCTAACAAGACAGATCTTGTTCGGCAACGTCGAGTACCATCATCAGGTACGTAAACATTTGTTAGAAGTTTACATGATTACTCTTCAGCTATGAAATCGGATTTGAAATACATGTTGATAATTTCTCCGTTATCCATTGGTAAATGTCAGCGTGGAAACCTGAAAATATTTTTGCTTGTATATGATTTCGAACTGTTATCCACCACGATGCCATAGGTTCAGAAATTCCCATTTTGTTTCCATGTGTATATTTCCCTGTATCTTTAGTTAATAAACGAAACATAAACATAGTTACTCATGTCACATTGATTTCGTGTTTCAGAGGCTAAGGTTATCGCCATGAAGTATGACTGCAAATACACAGAGACATCCGTTGCCATCAACCATCATGTGGACGAACTTTTAGTAGGGATACTCAGCCAAATTCGCTTCAAGCTCAACATCCCAGTTCACCAGGTTGTGCTTACGGAGAAACCTAAAGAGAAACTATCCCCGAAAAGAGCAATGCTGTTTCTGAGTAAACTGTTCAAGCAAGCAAGTCGAAAATCAAAATCCTGTGACAATCTCTTCGTTTGATTTGCCTTGTCGGCATGTTAGAACACCACTGCCTTGAGTTTTGATGCGATGTTAAGCTATGTTCCACCGTTCCCGGGATGTTAGTTCCTGCTTATACAACGACAAAGACGATTTCCACTGCTGTTGACAATCCCATAGTTTAATCATCCGTCCACATCAAGGCGTAATAATCACACATCAGCCTTCACCGCCAGGGCGACACACAGACAATCATTCCAAGGTATGGACAGTAGCATTTCCTTTTTTAATCCTCCTTAATAATATTCTCAACAGTTCAAAATGTCATAAAGTCCTGAATAAAAAAAATGTTTTAATTCCTACAGTTCCAAATGACATAGCGATACTTTTCTTTAAAAAATCCCGGAAATACAAAATAACACGAATTACATCTGATATATATCTTCTTCTAACAAGTAAAACAATCCTTTATGTTTTTATCCTTAACATAACGTAGGACTATATTTCTTCACAAAATGAACAGTGGTGATATCCTTTGCTTTTCTTCATATATTTGCCATATATTTTATGATCTTTGTGTTATTCTTTCAGTCGTCATTCCCAGAATCAGAAAGAATGCTCCATGACGCCTCGCCGTGGAGATCACATCACTGCACCAAACGGGAAACAATACCAAATAAGGTGTGTAGTTGTACTCATTGAAAAAAAGTTACGTATGGATTATTGTAAATGATTTATTCAATTCAGAAATAAAATAAAATATTTGCATACTTAATTTAAATATTATTATTGAGATTATATTAAAATTAGGATTCAAATAAAACGCAAAAGATATTAAAACGAAATAAGGGAATTAAATTGCATTTGACATTTGACATTTGACTTATGGTGTTTCTTCTGTATTACAGGTGCCGTAACTGACTTCGATTAAGTTTATCAGAAACGTGTTCAACCAAGTGTCACGTCACGAAGACGACCGTCACAACCAGTGAAATTATCCGAACTATTTCAATTCGATCCAGAAGTGATAGTTTCAGATTGACGATTGAACAACATCATACAATCATGATATTTCACCTTATCATCTGATAGTTAAGCAGATGACATCAAATGACTTTTGAAGTTGTTTTATCACCTGGCGATGTGTGACCATCCTCATCGCATTTCCCAAATCGGGACCAATCTGTATATAGCTTTTTGTATAATATTGTCCAAATGCAAATAAAATTTCTTACTTCTTCTAACATTTTATCTCTATATTATTTTACAACCTATGCTTGTCGTACGAGGCGAGTTGATAACTGGGGTGGTCAGACTTGGTGACTTGTCATGGTACCCGACGATGATCTTTGCTCACAACACCAATCTCATGTTTGTCTGGTCAAATGGGAGATACCTATAGGCCATCGTCATAAAACTGGAATATGGACGAGTTCGGCGTTAATTAACAAACACTCAAACACACACAAATAAACAAACGAGCAAACGCAAAGGCTTACAGAAACAACAATTTATGAATTTGAATTTGCGTTTCTTGAAAACATTTCAAGGTTATAATCATTTCTCGTACATGTGTAGAATTACAATAACTGAAATAATGTAATCCTTTGTCTCTGGGATATAGCAATTCTTAATGCCAGGCAAAACTTCAAATTCGTGCGTGTGATATTACCTTATAAAAACCAACAACATTTACTGAAGTCTGTATAATCTTTTGTATATCGATTTAACATAGAAGTCAATATCTCATACAAATACAGTTATGAGTAGGGCTTCAGTTATTCATATCCATATCATGTTGTTTCTATATGAAGAACTAATTCTAAATACTGGACCTGCAATTTGGAGTACACCAGGAGGACAATCACGACCAAGCGATCAATACCAGCTGTGTCTGCACATACAGTCTCTATGGTACTGGGGAAATATAGTCACATCTGTCACGACATAGTAGAAGACTGTAACAAACACATGACGCTGGCACACCCGTACATTTTGTTAAGCCATCAGGCCGCCTGCGTGGTCTAGTGGTAGAGCGTCCGCCGGGAGAGCGAAAGGTCCGGGGTTCGATCCCCGGCCGCGTCATACCAAAATACGTTAAAAGATGGTACTTGTTGTTACCCTGTCTGGCGCTCGGCATTAAGGGGCTTAAACAAGGACTGGTCGGCTCGGAGTCAGTATACTGTGTCTGAGTGGGGTATCCATGTTAAACTGCGGCATGGTATCTCAGTGAGCTAGCACTATAAATCGGCATCAGTCCGGACTAGTACAAGCAGCCAAACACACACGTACATGCACGTCGCTATATAAGTGCAATAATCTTGGACGCGACGTTAAACCCCATTTCACCTCACCTCACCTTGTTAAGCCATCAACACTTCAACACTAAACGAAATGAGTGATACCTCAAGTGGTTTGATAAAATACATGGGCTGTATTCGGCTTTTCTCGGCAAATAACATCATGTCTATCTCATCGAGTGACCTCACACAATTCATATTTTGAAAATATTTGCTCGGTTCATGAGAGGAGTTAAACATGTTATTTGACAAGAAAAGCAAAGTGTTCTGTTTGATATGAATGTTCGCACTGATCTCTCGATTCTTAGTATTTTTGTCTGCATCCCATACAATCAATAGCGTGGAAGAACTCCTTTCAATATAGTCCTATCTCAAGCTGCTTATAACTGGTCGAGTAACTTTTTTTGTTATCGTCACACGATTCTCACAATGAAGGTACATGTTCAAGTAGGCACGAACTGACATGGTTCCGCCTTGTGTGCGTGGGAAGTACTTCACAGCAGACAATCTTGAAGAGGTGTGATTGCAATGGTGGGTGTTCGTGTTTGGAGCTAGGTTGTACACACAATATATATGCACATATTTGACTCCAAATATCATTTGACTACACTTGCCAACACCATTTTATGTGTATAAGAATAGATACAAATGGTAAAAAACTACCGGGCAGAAGCAAGTATACAACATATTTGATGGAACAAACAAAAAATTGTTACTCGATGGTGATATATTTGATACGGGTATCTAATTGTGTTTTAGACCTAAAGTTTCGGCTAGTGTTTTCAGCCTGGCAACGTTCGTGGATTTTCAGTCAAATCCAGTTTATGCCGTCTTTCAAGAGTATACTTTCTAACAGCCAAATACGATAGCGAGATCAGGTGCACGATTATAAACAAATGTCTGTGCCTGGCTTGTCTTACACGAATTAACTTATTGGGCGTCGTACTTTTTCATCTTATGTGTTATTTTCATCATTTACATATAATATTTGTTGTTGTTTACTGGTTGCAAAAGAAGTAATCGATGTATATTTTGTTGCCATGGGAGAGGATCTTTGTTGACAGGACCAAATAGATTAAGTTACTTACACCAAATTGCGCTTTATCCAACTCTACTGTGCAGTAGTGGTTGAGAAAGCGAAATCTGCCTAAAGGAATAAAAACCAAGAGTAATGAAATCGACCCGAGAAGATTCCGGGGTAGAATTGGTCTTCAGCAACCCATACTTGACGTAAAAGGCGACTAACGGGATCGGGTGGTCGGGCTCGCTGACTTGGTTGATGCCTGTCATCGATCCCAATTGCGTGGATCGATGCTCATGATGTCAATTACTGGATTGTCTGGTCCAGACTCGATTATTTTACAGACCGCCGTCATATAGCTGGAATATTGCTGAGTGCGGCCTTAAACAACAAACAAACAAATAAACAAACAAACAAAGTAAAGAAATATTTCCTTTGTGTCACCTTCTATCTTTATCATTTATGTGTGTATTAGTTATAAATATCATTGTTTTTGTGAGTGAGTGAGTGGGTAAGTGAGTGAGCTGGACTAACGGGGTGTGCTGAGCAGTGATTCACACTTTAAACGCGAGTTGAAGCATCCAGCATGAAAAACAAAACAGGCATTATTACGTCATCTCTTTAGCTTACTTTGTTTCAAATTGGCATTGTCTGTACATGGGAACACATGGGAACACAGACTACCCGCTTAAACCAGTGTCCTTAAACCCATGTTGAGGGTCATTTATAATTATGTTATGAAAATGTAGTCGTTTTTCATCAGCTATCTAATGTACGACGTCATCTGTTATTTATCACCATTGTACTGTAGCAGCTCTTCAAAGTAGGTGTCATTTGAGATTTATTATGTCCTTAAAATCACATGTCCCTCCCTTGTACAACACTCATACATCATTCCGTATTAATTTTGTCATATTCTTAATCAATAATCAAACACGTCCAACTGTGTTAAACATACACTGCAAAAGCCACATCAACCCATGTCTGGAGAACGACATGCGTGTATGTTCATGCCAGGCTTAATGTTATATCAATGAGATATTCTGTCACTGTATTTCCTGGAACATCATATTATATGATATAATGAATGGAGCATCGTGGTAACATCGAGTGATACACGTAGCTGCCACCGCGTGCTACATCTTCACGTGGTATTAGTAATGTGTCTTTTCTTAGAGACAAGAAAATCAATAGCTTCCTGTTAAAGTTTTAAGAGCAGTATTTGTCTTTATATTACATGTTGGTAGTATTTTGACATTTGACACACTGGCTGTATTTGAAAAAAAAAGAAATCTAAAAATTTCCTAATAGGAAATTTGAGACTTGCTGCAGTCGCGATGTAGCACAGAACATATTTGTCAGATGAAACGAAGAGGCAAATGCGTATGTCGTTACTAGATCGTACGCACGTATGTCTTATATATGTGTACATATATTGAAGTACGAAATGTGAGTCACGTTCCAGAACTTATGATTACAAATTGTCACGTGTCAGGCATCAGGGATAACATACTTGTAATTTGGAGTAAAAGTTTTTCCGAAGATGTTAAGTTATTGTAATCGTTAGCCGAATATAATTCGTTGTTATATCCAGGAAGCGTTTACTCCGAAAATATTGCCTTGTCATATACAATAAGCGTTTCTCCGAAGATATTGCCTTGTGATATACAGTAGGCGTTTCTCTGAAGATATTGCCCTGTGATACACAGCAATCGTTTCTCCGAAGATATTGCCCTGTGATATACAGGAATCGTTTCTCCAAAGGTATTGCCTGTGAAAAATAGGAATCGTTTCTCCGAAGATATTGCCTTGTGATATACAGAAAACTGTTTCTCCAAAGATATTGCCCTGTGATATACGGGAAATGTTTCTCCAAAGACATTGTCATGCCATGTGATATACTGGAAACGTTTCTCTGAAGATATTGCCTTGTATGTGATATAGATTTCCATGGAAATTTTATTATGATGTTTGTGTACCAAAAACAATGCAAAAGCTATTGGGCATTTCATTTCAAACTACTTTTCAGAGTTGTGGTTAACGTCATGTTTAGTATAATCAATCTGTAATTAATATTAAACCATAAATTGCTTCTGAGGCACAAACTAATAAAGATATGTATGGTCCCATGTGGTTTCATCTTATCGCTGGCAGGTGAATGTAATCATTGCTATCTACAATTCATGCACTGGATAATACTTATCTGGTGTAAATGTCATTAATCTTCAGTGACGTTCAGTTGTTCCTCTTGAATTTGCTGTTGAAGCCGGACGTTATCTTATGAAAGAAAAGACAGATTATATATGTTGAATATATTGAAGATTAATTCCACGTTCTTCTCAGGGGAACACAGTATCCAGGTTTAAGTAAATACAGTATATAAATATAACGCAAGAGAATGACCAGTCTCGATTGTTCAACGAAACAGGTTACATTGCTCTTTGCTAAGGCAGAATAGCGGGGATAATGACATGAATGAATCACTGAAGATCAGTGATAACACCATGCCCCGCCCTACCGGTAGCAATCACTCACACGATTTACATAAAAGAGTAAGTGTTTGTTTATAACCTGACGCCGTAAAACTGTAAAAAAAAAGTTTAAGACATTAATGTTCACTGATAAAAACTGTACATGTCGTAAACTGGTCTCAATTTCATAATTGAATGTGCATTTGGCAGAGATTGTTGATGAATATGGAAAGAGTTGTCAACACTTGTCAGTGTTTTGCAAACCTGTTGAGAAACAAATGTGTCTTGAACTCGTTTCTCGCAACGGCTTGTCTCTGGTCACTGTATACTATTGGCATAGTGTTATTCGGTATTCAGATACACAGTGATAAATTGATTTGATAAATAGTACGTGTTACTGCTCAGATATTGAGTGTCAAGTCATTTGTGCGACAAGACCATGCCCTCTG